TTTATGTAGGATAACCTTGGTTCTGTATTTCTTTGGATTAAGCATGACATAAGCCTAAATAAAACCTCAGTTGCTCCTGTAATTTATCATTATTACACTTCAGTGTCATTGGCTGGATATAACAGTTTTATAATGGTGTTTTAATTGTGCTGTAGGCCTACTCAAGAGACAATTATGAGTAGATAGCTGCAATGTCAGGTCAAGTGCCCTGACTCATGGCCCAAATCACAAATGCCGAGGCTGATTACCTGAGACCTACTACCTGCGATTTGATTGGCTATTTGCCAAGAGTGGATTTCATAATTGGCTGGTGTTTGTCAGTTGATTACATTTTTTTTTTAAAGGCAGTTACAGTCACCATGAATGAACGATGTGGATTATCTTTTACAGAAGTCAAAGCACACATTTAAAAGTTTGAAGAAAGATTTAAGATTAAACACCTCAGTGTACATGTCCACTATTCGTCAGCTATAGTTATAAACCAACCCGTGGTAAAATACTTTGATTTAACGAGGAGTTCTCAAACGGAAAAAACTGCTCATAGCTAGCTTGTCTGTGTGCACTGTTTTAGCTTCCGGTTTTGTAATTGTTCAGAGGTGATTGGACCTGGTGAAGAATAGTTTTCGGGATCCCAAGCATCTTTGTAAGAGGATAACTAAACTTGAAAGCAATAGGACAGCATGGTGATGTTGGTTTTGTTCGGCAGAGCAAACATGGCTACCCAAACTGAAAAGCAACGCAGGAAAGTGGGCGATAGAGCTGCAGAACCAGACATGAAACAGGTAACGTCATGAGCTCAGTCTGATTAACGTTAGTTTTGTATTAAACACAGGTTGAATTGTGTGGGGAATGGCACATTATAACAAGTTATATACTTTTTGGTTTTGCGTCTCAGCAAAGTGTATTATCCACTTAAAACACGTCAGTCGCGTTGAATTTAGTTTTATGTTGGATATTAGACAGACATCCACTCTAAAACCGAGTAGCATGCAGCCCCGGAAACTGCAGTTTCAGGACCACACTCCTAGGCAGGGGCGGTGCTAGGGGGGAGCAAGGGGCCTGACTTTGGACCCCCCTGTGGCCCCCCTAAAAAAAAAAAGAAAAAAAAAAAGTTTATGATTAAACTATTTCTTTGCTGACGGAATAGGCGGAAATAACGATATTTGTCATTCTAGTCGGACCCATTAGAGCAAGGGTCTCCAACACGTCGATCACGAGCTACCGGTATCTCGCAAGCCCTCACTTTACAAATATGTTTTTTTATTTTTTTTAATGCAAGCCGTCATCGCCACGGAGGAGCACACAGCCTCTGTGAGTGAGCGAGACAGAGAGAGAGAGAGAGAGAGAGAGAGAGAGAGAGAGAGAGAGAGAGAGAGAGAGAGAGAGAGAGAGAGAGAGAGATAGAGAGAGAGAGAGAGAGAGAGAGAGAGAGAGAGAGAGAGAGAGAGAGAGAGAGAGAGGACACCTTTATCTATTTAATGTGTTGTAAAA